ATCGCCTCAGAAAGTGCGCTGGGCACCGGGCAACTTAATGGTGCAGTGGAACTCTCTAAGGTATCTCAACGGTTGGACGAAATTTCAACGAAGGCCACACGCTGTTTCTCTAAGCTGCATTACAGGACTAGCGTTCACAAATGGAGTTTTGATAATGTGAAAAACAAACAGGTAATTGTCAAGAATGTCGTCGATTGTCATGAGATGTCAGTGGATCATAGGATTTAGCGTTATTTAATTATTATAATCACCATCATCGCCATCATCACTAACATCATCATCATCGCCAAGAGCATCATAATCGTTATAATCACAATAACCATTATCATCATAATCATTATTTTCTTGTCACCGATGTCAAAAAATGCGTTTTTTTCTTTTTTCTTTTCTTTTTTTTGTTTGTTTTGTTTTTGTTTTTGTTTTTGTTTTTCTCACATATCAAACAATTGTTGTCATTCGCGGGCTTCCTGTGGTGACAAACCACGCTCCCCTCCCCTAAACAATTTCCAGTCTTTTTTCGGCCAAAACCAAGATGGCTGATAGTTAGTGATGTTTTCACTCGATTTACTGTAAATTTGAGCAGTTTTGAGCAAGAAATTCGCCTATTTAGTGAAGAAAATTATATTCCAATTTCCTAATATGGTAAGTACATTCCATATATGGYAAAAGAAACAGCTCGAGCGGAACGACAACTTTTCTATGTGGAAAGTTTGATATGAATAGGAAATAATAAATTTTTGAAATAAAAGCGTTTTCAAAGGAGCATGAGTCAAGTTTACATTGCAGTGCAATTTGGGACTGTCTTAGGGGACGAAATATAGGCCTCGAAATATGTCTGCGGCAGCCATGTTGACTTGAACAATAGCTTCTGCTACCCGTAGCCTATAACTCAAGTACAAACATTTTCTATCATCCGGAAATTGAATTATGTTTATGCATCGACTGTGTAGAAAGTTTCTATAGTTTGGTACACCAATATGGCTGTCTTATCGCGTGGGTGTGAACGTTCTTTATCCTAATGTGAATTATGGTTTGCCTTCTTTTTTTTTATTTTTTATTTTTATGGACTCTTCTTAATAATATTGTGGATGAGGGGCTAACATGGAAATACAAGAGAAATTCCATATATTTTCGATAGCATATATGGCATTTCTTTTGTATTTCGTATTTCTTTTGTATTTCTTTTTGTTGTTGTTGTTGTTGTTGTTGTTGTTGTTGTTGTTGTTGTTGTTGGCCTCGCATTCAAGACAGTTTACGAGAGTACATTGCAAAAGCCTTATCATTGGTTTTATAAATCCTGTAATTTTGTTGACTTTTCAGATGTTTGAGGAAATAAAAACAGGTTCAACAACATTCAGTATAGGAGAGGATCAAATTTGTAGCACATGTTACAATGCTCGGCTTATAAAAGTACGTATGCATAAAAGCGATATGATAAACATTTCCTTTGAGAAAAGGAATTTCTTAACAAGACCGATGGCCAAATGGGCTATTTACCCCTAGACCATAGGCCTTTTCTGAGTTCGATAAACAGGATGCATTGTAGTCTAGCTTCCATTTATTGGTTGACTTTCATTGGCTCAGCGGAAGTTACGTGTTCCATACAGTGACAATTTCACGTGCCTTGGCTCTTCCAAGTTACACAAAATCTACCAAATACCAAAAGAAGTTTGATGAAATTTGATGTTTGATTTAAATCTTTTAGTTAAAGCAAGTAATCATTTTTTTATAATATTCGTTTATAACAGATGTATGTTGAGCTCTCTGGCACTGAGGCACAACCTACAAGCGTTTGGGATAAGGTCAGACTCAATGTCCGCCATCTAAGCAGATCTTATTTCCGCGCGGGTGATGGCCAAATAAAGCAATACCTTTCGCCAGTAACAAACTACAGGGACCTTACGTTTGACCGTTTTAAAATCAGCGATGAGGATGAGTGCCGAGAACGTAAAAAGAACCCCGACCAATCTGGTAAGTAGTCCTTTTTACTCAAATAAGTAAAGTAAAACGTAGTTTTAAATCATAACTATGCACACATGGGTAACATGTTGACTGGAAGTAATAATAATAGTAATAACGGATTTATCAGTGGTATTTCCACGTGGTGTTTTCTCATCCACTGAAGGCATTTGAAATTTATAAGGTGATTTTCACCTGAGAAAGGAAAACCAGAGAATCGTCCAACAAACAAATCTACTCACTACTAATTAACACTTAGACTACGAGGTCGAGTTTTCTATGAGTCAATAGATAGTCGATGAGGCGCGTAGCGCCAAATCGACTATTTTGCTCATAGAAACGAGAACGATTCGTTTGGCTCATAGAAAACGAGAACGAGTAGTCTAATTGTTTTAGCATAAACCTACTAGCTAATATCATAGTATTGAAAACAAAAAATGACACTGAAAACTTTACTTTACAAAGCGACGATCAAACAGCGGCACTGTTTTCACTCTTATTTTCGAACTCAACTCGAAGTCTGCAGCATCTGAGATTCTCGTGCATTATTTTTATTTTTCATGCCTTTTTGAAAAACGCATTTCCATGCACGTTCCAAGACCACATCGTCTTTAGCTTTTTCATTTTGCATCTCATTAGATATTTTTATTATGTATATATGTATACTAATCCATATGATTGCATGGCAAGTGCTGTATTTGGCACATCCGAGTCTAAATAGCCATCAGCGTATATATATCCATGTATTATTGTCATATGTATATAGTTTTCATGGACATGACAAATAAAAAAATCTCGCTTCAGAGTCTTATTTCTGCGTGGAAAAGGAAGATACTCGCCTGGAAGCAATGTGCAGCCATTCACTAAATGGTGGCTCGGCCAATGGTTTGATGATGGGAAAGGACGAATGTACGAGCCCGTCTGGCTTTTACGAGCTCAAGATCCCTGTTAACAAAAAGTTGTCCTGTACGGATACAAAGATGCGAGACACCAATTGCAAAGATATTGATGTAAGTCAAACCTGTACGTTTTACACTGCTGGGCCTGTTTGTACGAAGGGTGGATAGCCCTATCAGATGGAAAATCCTTATCCAGTGGATAAGTCGATGCTGTTATCCAATAAATTTATCCACTGGATTGGTCGTATAGCGTTATCCACCCTTCGTACAACAGTGCCCTGGAATACTTTGTTTGTTTAGTTTATTTATCTTTTAATTTTTACTTTGCCTCTGATCACTTTTATGTGAAAAGTAATTCACAAATGACTGACACTATCATTCTCATCATTCTCATCGATATATCTATCTATTATATCAGATCAGATGTGGCTTTTCAAATGCGTTCACTGTAAATGCTTCTTTCTTTTTTTTTTTTTTTTTCAGCTAACAAAATTCACTAAAATGAATGTTTGGGTGTATTACATTTACTGGTCAAATAAGTACCCCAATAATTGGGATGACCCTGTATGTAACATCCAAAAGGATTCAACTAAGAGTCATTGATTGAAAACATCCAAAAGTTAACGCCATGATGTCCCAGAAGATGAACCGAAACTACAATCCCCTTGGTTTGAAATGAACGCTTTTCAAAATTATCTGTGAGATTACATGAAAATGCAAAAGGAGAAATCTCACTTTTCCTCAATGGAATGTGTGTGGTATTTTCTTTTGAATTTCCATGTAACCTTGGCTACAATTCCATGCATGCAGCAAAATCGTATAATTACCTATTACGAGGCACAAAATAAAAATAATATTGCAGCAGAGAAGCTCATTCGTGTCTGGCTATGTTTTCTTTAACGTCACAGAACGCCGATGAGGCGTGCAAAGCTTGTAGTCACTTATTGTCCAAAAACTGATGAATGTCGTAGACCAAGTTTACCAACTAGTCTCTAACCTGGTCTACTTTACAAATTGTCTTGCTAGTCGATGGCTCCCGCTAACTGGCTGAATGACACCTAATTCACTGGTTTTCCTTATATACTTTCGCACAACTTGATTTCCTAGTCTTAGCATTTTAAAAATACTAACGTATTTTATTTTTAAAATATCGGTTCCAGAAACAAGGGTTTTAATTTACCTTTTATCAATGTATTTCTTTTTTATTAAGAGTGATTGTCAGAGAAAACCGGGCAGGGGCAAAAGATCGGGGTAGGCCGATTTGCACCAAATGTTCAGCAATAAAAGACTATCCGATTAGATGACGAACCATGGTAGTTAAAGTTTCGTTGAGCTTTTTTTCCCCGAGATAGACCACCCCCCCTCGGTTTTCGATCGTGATCGGCCTTTGGGATGCCAAAATCGATCTAAGGCCAAACTTCAACCTCTCAAAAGTCAATACTTCTTTATCTCTGCAAGTTTTAATATTTTGTTTGTGAAATGTATCATATGATCGAGAAGTCTTGAGGTTTTGAGTCAAATACGATGAGTTTTTAAATTTTGWCCCGGACTTGAACTTTGCATACAAAGCCTGTTCAATTCACGATCTAAAAATTCGTCAACTTTCAAACATATTTTCTCAAAAGTGCGGCAGTTATTTTTTAAATGAATAACATTTTTCCAAAGCTCTACGTCAGAGCTTTCAGAAATCGTAAAGTTAAAATTGGGATCTAAAAATAAACGAACGCGAGCAGCTTTCAAAGTTGGCAAAAATCGCCTTCTGAATTTGCGTAATTGCGTTGTGTTTACTTCCGGTTGACACAAGGCTGCGTTACTGACTCCCGTCTTCGACAATACAAAGCTTAAAATTTGTTTTCAAAAACAATTTCAACTAGAATAACCTTATTTTATCCAAATTAAAGTTATCTAACAAATAAAATTCCCAAGTAATACGACTCCGTGAGTATTAAAAGACTGTTTATATAAAGCTAATTTATATAAATTTTAAGGCAAGAGTACTTTATTTGCATTTTATAAGACATATTTTAAAAAAAAAGTTTTCTCTCTGGGAACGCATGACTAAGACTTAAATACTACAATAAAAGAAGCAAAAAGGCACAAATTATTGCACAAACACTATGTTCGATTCGTTTTTCTCAACGTCGTTCTAATGAATTGTCATGGTTTTCCTTGTAAAGTGTAACGCAATACTCTGAAATAATTATTACTTCGAAAAAGTTTACCTTCTTTTACATTTTCTCTTTTTCCGATAAAAGCTTTTGATAAACAGAAGATTGTAATTTAATGCAAAAATATGAAGTGTTTGTAAATGGAATGCAAGTTTTTTCCATATAAGGCGAGATGTTTGACAGTCTTTACACAAGTGTATTTTATTAATCTTGTGTAACTTAGAAACTTCAACTCGTTTCGACTTGATTGTGAAATATTCAATACTTGGAGTCAGTAATGGCTGCACAAGTGAGCTGCTCTTTCGCATCTCAAGATTCTTCTTGTAGTACCACTGGATTAGGATCTGCCCTTGTCCCTTTATCAGCATGTACTCAGGATATGACTTTACATCTAGCTAGTCTCCAAGTAACAAGTAAACGTGGACGGGGAAAAACAGGCCTTTCGGAGAGAGAKCTCATCTTAAATCGTGCAGGATTGTTCGATCTCAGCACCGCTCAAACTGAAGTAATGACGATCTGCCCAAAACATCGAAAAAATCTGACCACTGATTGGCAAGGTCGTAAAAGCCGTGTTTGCAGCTACCTATGCCATAAAAGTCAGCGAAAACAGATGCAAGTCCATCGAAGAATAAATGCTTCAGTGTCTGCTGAAATCTATCATCTTTTTAATGTTGTTGTCCCGGTTGGTTCTGGTAAGTATTGGTCATATCGATAATACTGCTTTTTGATATGCTCAAGAGTGAGTACGGCTTTTGATTCCATATTCCATTCTCATTTTCATTTTTACCGTCTTTTCTAATTCTTTTTTTTTTTTTTTTTCCTTTTTGCATTTTCATTGTCGTCCAGTGTAATTCTCATTCTCATTTTAATTTTCATTCTGATTTTTGTTGTTTTTTTTTTCT